ACAAAGTCACAGAAATCCAAATGCTTGAGTCACCAGGGAAATCCAGAGCAGTTTCTAATGAGTTTTTCCTTAGCATGCATTCTATCACCTCTGCTTGCCTCACTAGCTTCCTCTCATGCCCCTCTCCCCTCACTATAAACAACCTCTCCATCCCCTAGCTGAAAACACTGACAGCTGTGGAAGCCTTCACACCATCACCAACACATAGATATTGTGGGCATACCTGGGAATCCACCCAGCCATACGGAGTTGAGGAGCCAAAGGACCATTGCTAGGTGGTTCCCACTATCTGAACACAGGGTGGCAGTGTCCACCCACCAAAGAGAAAGGCTAATTCACAAACCTGGTTTCCAGCATTTTCCTGGGAGATCAGGCTCTAATTATCCTGTATGGGATGTCTTGTAGCATCTCAGAATTTTAATGAGGGAGTGGGAAAGCAGATGACCTTCGCATGTGACAAATAAAAAAATCTAGTTTTGTTTGTGGAGAAAGAACCTATCTGTTTTTCTGCACCAGGACCTTGAATCACCAGAGTCTGTCTGTCTGTCTCTGTCTCTGTCTCTGTCTCTCTCTCTCTCCCCGCACCCACCCGCCTTGAATTACCGGTCTGTCTCTCTCTGTCTTGTGCACATGCACACACACACATACACACACACACACACACACACAGTTTAGACTCTGTTTTTCTAGCTTCTATCTTGCCTGTCAAACTTCAGAGATACATTTTTTAAGCTTTATGTTTTGGACCCATATTATATTATTACCCTACAATAATGAACCATCACTAGCAAAGGGTGGACAAGAACTTGGCCAATTCCTGCTAATGCCTTGCTTTCCAGAAACTTTTCCCTCCCATCCATGCTAACTTTTAGGTGCTGTCTTTTTCACTATGTCCTTTGGTTCTTCCTTAAGACAGCCATGGCTGGGCGCAGTAGCTCTTGCCTGTAATCTCAACACTTTGGGAGGCTGAGGCAGGTGGAACACTTGAGGTCAAGAGTTCAAAGCCAGACTGAGCAATATAATGAAACCCCATCTCTACTAAAAATAGAAAAATTAGCTGGGAGTGGTGGTACATGTCTGTAATCCCGGGTATTTGGGAGGCTGAGACAGAAGAATTGCTTGAACCTGGAAGGCAAAGGCTGCAGTTAGCCAAGCTCCCACCATTGTGCTTCCAACCTGGGCAATAGAGCAAAACTGCATCTAAAAAAAAAAAAAAAAAAAAAAGACAGCCATTTTCAGAGAAATCAGCAGGTCTCTGGCTCTTGGGCTTAACCAGATTTGAGGGATTGATGTAAACACTGTAGAACTTCATGGGGTTTCCAGGTATCAGTTGCCATCTCTGAAAATGAAGACCTTGAAGAAGACAAGGCGAATGAGGAAAAAATATGAAGAATGGCATTATGCCTTATTGGGCAGCTACTGCCTATCTGCACTGTCCTAGACAGTAAACTTCAGGTTATTTAGACCTTTGGTGACCAAAGGCTGGCCTTTCCCAGGTCCTCCGAGCCTCCCATCTCAGCCCCTGACATGGCTGTCACCGGCAGCCTCCTGCTGGCTGCTCAGGCCTCTGGCTGCCACTGGCCCACCCACCCACCCACCAGCTCTGAAAATCCCTCCATGAGCCCTGAAGACAGACCAGCATGGGTGCGTGTGTGGCTGGCCCACCCTCAGCACCATTTCCTCTTTTGCAGGGGACTATGGCAGGTTATTTCGTCCTCAGACACCTTTCCAAAGGCAGCAATGTTGTAAGACCAAGGAAATGAAGTGCCAGCCTTTATTGGCCTGGCATAAAACATAATTTTAGGTCTTCTTGAAATAAAATGAATGCAATTAATGGCTTCAGGATCCCTTTAAGAAGGCCACACTGGCCTATGGTTTCATGCCTGAGAAAGTACATTTCTCATGTGGAACAATAACGTGGCCATAATGTCTACCGCAGACACTGAGGTCAAGGAGACATGCCACTCTTGCTGAACGTGGCAGAGACTCTGCTCACAGATAGAAACAGTGGATCACATTCACCTGTCACTTTCTGAGGTCACTTTCTAAAGCCCTTAACAGATTGTATTCACCTGTCACTTTCTAAAGTTTGCAGTGGGGAGAGTATCTCTTTCTCTGTTCCAATGTCCCAGCGCTTCATGTCAAAGCAGACCTAAGCTCCTAATGTAGTAACAATTGTTACATTTCTCAGCACAGCAGCCAGAATTTTTTTTTTTTTGAGATGGAGTTTTCATCAAATTAAGAAAATTTTCTGCCATTATTGTTTCAAATCCCCCCTTCTCTATTAAAGATTCCAACTGCATATATATGCAACCACCTGATGTTCTCAATTTAGTGACTGAAGAACTTTTAAATATGTTTAATATGTTTTGCTTTTGTGTGAGTTGTTATTGTTGTTCTTGTTCTTGAAGCAAAGTCTGGAGTGCAGTGACGCCATCATGGCTGACTGTAGCCTGAAACTCCTGGGCTCACGTGATGCTCTCACCTCAGCCTCTGAGTAGCTGGGACTACAGGAGCATGCACCACACTCATCTGGATTTTAATATCTATTTTTGTTCAGCTGGAGTCTCACTAGGTTGCCCAGGCTGGTCTTGAACTCCTGGGCTCAAGCTCTCTGCCCATAAGAGCTAAACTATATGAATCTCAGAAAAAAAAAGAGCATAAATCTTCATGAGCTTGGATTTGCCTATAAATTCTTAGATATGTAACCAAAAGCATAAGTATAAAAAAAGAATTAGGATTTAATCAAATTTAAAATACTTTTTGTGTCAAAGAATACAATCAAGAAGATTACAACCCACAGAATTGGAGAGAATATTTGTGACTCCCGTATATGATCAAGACTATTAGCCAGAGTAGAGAAAGAATACTGACAAATTAATGATAAAATCTCAAATAGATTTAAGAAATGAAAAAAGAATTTGCATAGCTATTGCTCCAAACAAGATGCACAAATTGGCAATGAACACATGGAAACATATTTAAAATCATGAGTTATTAGGGGAATTTCAGTCAAACCACTGAGCTACCACTTCACACCCACCAGTAGGACTGTAATTAAGTAACAAAGCAGTGTTAGCAACAATGTGGGGAAACTGAGACCTTCCTACATTGCTTGTGTGAATATAAAAAAGAAAAGATTTGGCAGTTCTTTTAACAGTAACAAACGGAATTACTGTAGGGCCTAGCACTTCCACTCCTAGGTATACATCCAGAAGAAATAAAAAATATGTTCACACAAAAACTTGAATATGGTGTTCACAGCAGCACTACTTATAGTTTAAAAAAAAAAACCCATCTGTCCACCAACTGATAAATGAAAAACATAACCAATTATATGCACACAATGGATGTTATTCAGCCATAAACAAGCGAGGTATGGATACATGCCACAACATGGAGGCACCTGAATACCTTCTGCTTACTGAAAGAAGTCAGAGGCCGGGCGCGGTGGCCAAGCCTGTAATCCCAGCACTTTGGGAGGCCGAGGCGGGTGGATCACGAGGTCAAGAGATCGAGACCATCCTGGTCAACATGGTGAAACCCCGTCTCTACTTAAAATACAAAAAATTAGCTGGGCATGGTGGCGCGTGCCTGTAATCCCAGCTACTCAGGAGGCTGAGGCAGGAGAATTGCCTGAACCCAGGAGGCGGAGGTTGCAGTGAGCCGAGATCACGCCATTGCACTCCAGCCTGGGTAACAAGAACAACACTCCGTCTCAAAAAAAAAAAAAGTCAGACACAAAAGGCAGCCGATTTGATGACCTGATGTGTATGAAATGTCCAGAATAGAAAAATCCATAGACAGCAGACTGGAGATTGGTAGGGTGAGTGGAGAATGAAGTTGGCTGATACAGGTAAGGGGTTTCTTTTCAAGGTGATGAAAATGAACTGAAGTTAGGTAGTCCAGGTAATAGCAAAACCAGAATATGCTAAAATCCACCAAACTGTATTCTTCAAAAAGGAGAATTTATGGAATATGAATTACATATGTCAATACAAAACAATACGACTTAAAATTTTATATTTTGTCAGCTGGGCCATGTGGCTTACACCTGTAATCCCAACATTTCAGAAGGCCAAGGCAGGATAATCACTAGGTCAGGAGTTTGAAACCAGCCTGGCCAACGTAGTGAAACTGTGTCTCTACTAAAAATACACAAATTAGCTGGGCATGGTGGTGGGCACCTGTAATCCCAGCTACTCAGGAGGCTGAGGCAGGAGAATTGCTTGAACCCAGGAGGCAGTGACTGCAGTGAGCCAAGATGACGCCACTGCACTCCAGCCTGGGTGACAGTGTGAGACTCTGAGGAAAAAAAATACAACGCACTGAAAAGTAGTCTACTTTTAACTCAGTTTTGGATTGTTGTTTGTGAAGGCCCTCGCTTGGGATAACAAAAACAAAGGGAGGAGAAGGAGAAACAAGAATAGATTCAAGAAATAGAAGCAGCAGCACATGAAAATGATAAGGAGAAGACAAACCAGACTGGAAGAAAGGAAAAAGAACAAGTAAGGGAATCAGGAGGCCCATCATACCTTTTGTCCACTTCCTGATTCATGAAATTTGAAAAAGTCCAAGACTAGCTCAACAAAAAAGCAAGAAGACACATATTCACCCCTGAAACATTGTTAGTAATCACACAATGCTGCCACTCACACCTGGCTCAGGTGCAGGCAGGAGGTCGCCCTCCAGATTCTGCAGGAGAAACAGCGAAGACTCCTCCTTGTCCTGGCTGCGACTCCACCGCTGCCACAGAGTCCCACGGTACAGCACCTGCAGCTTCTTACCCATCCTACCCCAGCTGCATGGGCTGACCCCCTGCAGTGCTCCTACCCACCTCCCTAGCCCCCAGACTTACTGCTGCTGCCACCACTACCACCGATGCCAACCACTACTGCTGCTGCTGCCCTCGACACACTGGCCCATCCTACAAGATTCCTACCACCTGGCCACCACCACAGCCCTGCCCCTGTCCCCGTGGCAGCCAGCCACCTTCCTACCTTGCTGGAGCTCTGCAGTCTCCATCATTGCCACCAGCCGCAATGAGGCAAGCCATGGGGCCACAGGCTCCAGCCTCCAGCATATAGCAGATGGCTCTTCTTTCTCCTGGCATGGAGCAGCTGGGTGGGCAAAGCCAGAAAAGCCTAAAACAGGATGCAGAGAGTGGTAACATTAGAACCCCACCTTGTCATGCTGGCCACTGGGTGGCAGGGGCCGGTTTCAGCAAAAGCACTCACACCCACCCTCCAAAGTTCTGCCTCTCCTTTTGGCCCAAGCTGGCCAGGAACTGGGGCCTGTAGCAGGGACTGGGGATACCACGGTGCCCAGACCTCCCACTCCACAGGAACCACTGGACCCACCTGGGCTGCACTCGGGAAGCAGGAGCAGCAGAAACTCAGCCCCAGCCAGCACTCCCCACCCAAGTGCTGGTTCTGGTTCCTGGCCTCCACCCACAGGGCCCTATCACCCCGTGGTGGCCACTATTGCGTGCCCCGGGGTCCCGAGTGGTCTCCACAACACAGAATGAGAAGGTGCGGGTCTGGGAACTAGGGTGGGTCTGGGCACCCTGCCACGCTCAGGATTCCCGCGGAAATATTGTGTGCCCCACATTCACGCAGGAGGAGATGGCCCTCTAGAGTCTGGAATCTGGGGAGAGAACCGCTCCTCTCTCGGAGACCACCACTGTCACTAACACTTCTGCTGCCCGCCGCTGCCACTGCAACCCCCAATAGAGCCCCTAACCTGTCGCTGGTATTTAGCCCCAGGATAAATCCAACATCCTGCCCCCCGACAGCCGGCAGTGTAGCACCCAATGGCAGCCCCAAACTGCCCCTGCCTCAGACACTGCAGCACCCGATGGCAGCTGCACCCCACCACCTGCTGTGGGCAGCACCCCGGGATAGTGCCCTCAACCTGCTCCCTGCTGTGGGCAGTGTAGCCACGGACAGCGTCTCCAATTAGACTCCTGCCATAGGCAGTGACACCCCAATGTGGCACCCAAACCGACCCCAACCGTGGGCAGTGCAACCCCGGATAGCGCCCCAGTCCAAGCCCTGCTGAGAGCAGTGTAGGCCTGGGTAGAGCCCTCAACCCACTCCCTGCCTCGGGCACTGCAGCCACAGTTAGCACCCAAACTCCCTCCCCACCTCAGCCAGTGCAACCACGGAGAGCACACCCAATCCACCCCTGCCGCGAGCAGGGTAGCCCCCATAGCGCACCCAACCTATCCCTGCCACGGCCAATACGCCGCAGATAGTACACCCACCCGCTCCCTGCCAGGCAGTGCAGACCCCTGATAGCACCCAATCCGCTCCTCCGCCACGGGCAGTTTATCTGGCCCCCGATAGCACCCACAACCAACCCTGCACCCCCTCTCCACAGGTAGTCCGGCCTCCGGTAGCGCTCCCAACAACCCCCCCCCGCCTCAGTGTAGCCCCCGATAATGCCCTCGACACCCCACTCCCTGCCGCGAGTAGTGTAGCACCCTATAGGAACACTAACCCATCCCCCACCACCGGCATTGCAGCCCCTGTGCCCCCAACCCCCTCCCCACTATGGGCAGTGCAGCCATGGATAGTGCCCCTACCAGCTCCCAGACGCCGGCAATGACGCCCTGGATATTACACACCCCACCCACCGTGGGCAGTGTAACACCCCAAAGTGCCCCAAATCCGCCCCTCACCGCCCGCAGTGTTGCACCCGATAGCACCCCCAACCTGTCCCCGACAAAGGCATTGCAGCACCTTGTAGCTCCAACTCCCCCCCACCGCGGCCAGTGCATCCCTGGATAGTGCCCCCAAAACACCACACTGCCACTAGCAATACAGCTTGGAATAGAGCCCCAACCCACCCCGAGCCATGACCAGTGCAACCCTGGCTAGCGCCCCCAGCCCACTCCCCTCTGTGGGCAGGGACACCCCAAGTAGTACACCCCAGCAGCCCCCCAACACGGGCAGTGACGCCCTGGATAGCCCACTGTTCACATCAGGGTGCCCCCAACCCACCCCTCACGCCACAGCCAGTGCGGCCTGGGATAGTGAACCTATCCCTCCACCAACCGTAACAGCGAGGCGAGCCATGAGACTGCAGGCTCCAGCCTCCAGCCTCCAGTGTGTGCGGTGGTGAGGGGCGGGTTGTGGGGGGCTACTCCCCCTTCTTCTCTAAGCCAGCCAGGCACGTAGTAGCTATGCTAGGCAAGCCAGAAAACTCTGGAATGGCGAGACCCGCTCGCTTAGCTTCCTTTATATAGTTCATGCAAATGAAGGGCTTGGACTACATATTCTGATTGGATGAGAGAAAACCTCTAGGTCTACTCTGATTGGTCTTTATTTTCATATTCTGATTGGATGAGAGCAAGCCTTAGGCTAACCAATCAGAACATGATAAAGTGCAATCAGGCAGGCCTATAGGTTTCTCTCATCCAATCAGAACATGAAAAACACTCCTTAGCGGGGGATGTTGTCTTGCCATGTCAGGCTCTTCTGGATTGGCCGATCTAGCTGCTCGTGCCCCGGCTTAGCCGAGAAAGAAGAGAAATCACCTGTCTCTCATGCTGGAGCCTGGCGCTTGCAGTACCGTGGCTTGCCTCTCTGTTGCGCTGTTGCGGTTGGTGACAGCAAGGGAGACTACAGGGCAGCCGAAAAGGTAAAAAAGATGACGGCATAGGTTCACTATCGCTGGCGCACTGCCTGGAGCATGGGGGACAGGTTGTGGGCCCCCTGCCGTTTGCAGTGGGCGCTATCCAGGGTGTCACTGCTGGTGCTCAGGGAGCTGGCTGGGTGTGTTATCTGGGATGCCAATGCCGGTGGAGGGGAGAGGATTGGCGACCCTATTAGGGGTATGCTTCCTGTGGCCAGGGGTGGGTTGGGACACTATCCCAAGCTGTACTACTAGCGGCAGTGGGGCATTTTGGGGGCACTATCCAGGGATGCACTCCCTGTGGTGGGGGGTGAGTTGAGGGAGCTATCAGGTGCTGCAATGCCCTCGTTGGGGACGGGTTGGGGGTACTATCCATGGCTGTGTTGCCCACAGCAAGGAACGGGGTGGGGGCACTGTCTGGGGCTGCAGTGCTGGTGGGGGGGATGGGTTAGGATCACTATAGGGTGCTACACTGCTGGCGGAGGGGAGTGTTGAGGGCGCTATGGGGGGGCTACACTGAGGCGGAGGTGGGGGGGTGTTGTTGGGAGCGCTACCAGGGGCCGGACTGCCTGTGGAGAGGGGCTGGAGGGTTGGTTGGGGGCTCTACTAGAGCCCAATACACTGCCTGAGTAGTGGGTACGGGGGGGCTGGAGGGTTGAGCCCGATACACTGCCTGGCAAGGAGCGAGTGAGTGTGCTATCCTAGGCTGTACTGGTTGTGGCAGGGACAGGTTGGGTACCCTATTGGCGGCTACCTGCACTATTTGTGGCTGCACTGCCCGAGGTGGAGAGGGAGTTTGGGGTGCTATCCGTGGCTGCACTGCTCTCGGCCAGGAGCGGGTTGTGGGCTATCTGGGGTTGCACTGCCCACTTTGGGGGGGGCAGGTTGGGTGCCATATGGGGGCATCACTGCCCACGGCGGGGGTCTGGTTGGGGGCACTATCTGTGGCTACACTGCCCACGGCGGGGTCGGGTTGCAGGCGCCATCTGGTGCTGCAGCATCTAATGCAGGGGCGGGCTGGGGCCGCCATCGGGTGCTACACTGCTGGCGGTGGGGTACGAGGTGTTGGCACTATCTCGGGGCTACACTGCCGGCAGTGTGTCAGAGGCTCTTTTGGGGGTTGTACTGCCAGCCGCGGGCAGCAGAGGTGTGACAGTGGTGTCTCAGAGAGGAGTGGTCCTCCTCTCCCCAGACTCCCTACTCTAGAGAGTCATCTCCTCCAGCAAGAGGGTACTGGGCTTGCAATGTTTCCGCGGGAATCCTGAGCAGGGCAGGGAGCCCAGACCCGTCGTGGTTCCCAGGTGCGTGCCTTCTCATTCTGTGTTGCAGAGACTGCCTGGGACCCCCGGGGCATGCAGTAGCGGACACCACGGGGTGACAGGGCCCTGTGGTGGAGGCCTCAGGAATGGGAATGGGCACTTTGGTGGGGAGGGCTGGCTAGCGCTGAGATTCTGCTGCTCCTGCTTCCCGATCATCAGCCCGGGTGGGCCCAGTGGTTCCTGTCGAGTGGGAAACCCAGGCACCATGGTGTCTCCAGTCCCCACTCTAGGCCTCAGTTCCTGGTCAGCTTGGGCCAAAAGGAGGGGCTGGACTCTGGAGGGTGGGTGTTAGTGCCCTGGCTGAAACTGGCCCCTGCCACGAAGTGGCCAGCATGACAAGGTAGGGCTCTAATGCTAACACTCTCTGCATCCTGTTCTAGGCTTTTCTGGCTTTGCCCACCAGCTGTTCGGTGCCAGGAGAAGGAAGGAGCCACCTGCCACATGCTAGAGGCTAGAGCCTGTGGCACCACGGCTCACCTCACTGCAGTTGGTGACAGCCATGGAAACTGCAGAGCGCTGGAGGAGTAGGAAGGTTGCTGGCTGCCGCCAGGGCGGGCGCAGGGCTGTGGTGGTGGCCAGATGGTAGGAGTCTTGTATGATGGGTCGCTGTGTTTAGGGTGACCACTTAGGGTGACCACCACGCCCAGTTAATTTTAGTAGAGACAGCGTTTGGCCATGTTGGCCAGGCTGGTCTCGAACTCCTGAACTCAAGTGATCCACCCACCTTGGCCTCCCAAAGTGTTGGGATTACAGGCATGAGCCATCACACCTGGCCCCACCTATGACTCCTAATCAGTCAATGTGTGTTCAGAGAGGTGAACCAAATCAATCACAGAGGTGAGTTAATTTGCCCAAACCAATTCACAGAGGTGAGTTAATTTGCCCAAATCACCACTTCCATGGAAGTAAGATTTAAGATTTGAATACTAGCACTTTAAGATGAAAACAATGAAATGGTACATTCTAAAAGCAGTCTATAATGCTGCACACCCACAAAGCCAGCTCCGGCCTCATGGAACAAGAGAGGACACAGCATACCCCAGAAAGCAATTCAGAACTGGGTGCAAGTACCTAAATGAGGACCTGGGCCAGTCCTGGACAGTGAGAAGAGGTCGCGTCCGTTCCAAAACACATTGTGGTCATCTGTTATTTATGATTGCATGTCATGTATTTGAATAAACTCAGGATCAATAACTTTAGTAAGCTGAGTACTGCCTTTTTTTCTTTTGCCTTTGTGGGTGTTTTCAAAAATATCTGATTTGCATCATAGCTCTATAAAGTAGGTAGGATAAGCATGAGAGTATTTCTAAATAGCATGCATTGAGGCCTGCCATGGTCTAAGCACTTTGCTCAATGACTTCCAGCTGTGGTCCTCCATCCCAACAGGTTGACTAAAGATCGAATATGATTTGAGATGCAAAGTGCTTCATACACAGCCTGACCTAGAGTGTTACAAAATAAAACAGAAATTATTATTTATGCCCTACCTAATTTTAAAATGAATTAAACTTACAATGATACTTGAGATACTGTCAAATAATATGTTATAAATCCGGGGTGGGGGAAGAGTAAATACAAAACATAGAGTCAGGGTCAAAGTCAATATGCAAATACTCACCATAAAGTCTTTCATATCTGTTGTGAGGGTAAGCCACAGAGTTGAATATGAATGTTCTCAGTCACTGTTAAATGAATTCCTGGCAAGTTCATTTGAAGTTATTGTTTGAATTAATAAATTGATACCTGGGCAATGAAATAAAAGCAAATCAGTTGCTCAGGAGAAATATGGTTATTCCCCATGGTGTAATAGCATAATATTCTGCGGAACATCCTTTATGTAGATAAAGCAATGGTTTCTTGGACCTGGTTATGACCATGCTACTCACCCAGGCAAATGTCCTATTCAGAGCACAAATAAGCAAGAGCTATGCAGGACGACACCGTGACAGTCAGTTGTATGGCCACAGGGCAGTGAGAGCTTCAGGATCCAAATAATTCATTCCCTCAGACTTAATTTTTTATTTTAAATGCGTGCACTTTTAGTATTTAGTTGTATTGCGTGTGATCTCAGTCCTTTAAAATTTGTTGATACTTGTTTCATGGTCAAGCATATGGTCTGTTGTGGTGAATGTCCAGGTGTGACTTACACCAGAGATGCAAGGATGGCTCAACATACACAAATCCATAAACAGGATACATCACATAAAAAGCATTAAGGACATAAACCATATGATCATCTCAACAGATGCTGACATTTATTAAATGTTTTTTCTGAATCTCTTCATGAAAAAAATCCTCAACAAACAAGACATAGAACATACTTCAACATAATGAAGTCCATATATGACAAGACAAACCCATAGCCAATGTTATTCTTAATTGGGAAAAGTGGAACAAGACAAGGATGTCCACTTTCACCACTCTTATAGTACTAGAAGTCCTTACCAGCGCAATCAGAAAAAAATTAAAAAATGAAAGACATCCTTTTATTGAAAACGAGGAGATCAAATTACTGCTGTTTGCTGATGATATAATCTTGTATGTAGAAAACCCTAAAACCTCCACCAAAAAATTCTTAGATTTGATAAATGAATAGGAAAGCTTTAGGATACAAAATTAAGATACAGAAATCGGTAGTGGTGCAATATTGGCTTACTGCAACCTCTGCCTGCTGGGTTCAAGTGATTCCTCTGCCTCAGCCTTGTGAGTAGCTGGGAGTACAGGCATGGGTTGCCATGCCTGCCAGGAAGGGAAGTGCCCTTCTATCCCTCATCTGCTAAGAGGACCGTCTAAAAGCTGGGCTTTAGGTGGCCTTTTCTGCCATCTCTTTCTACTACATTCTGGTTCTTTTTCAGTATGTAATTTTCAGTAATTAGTAAATTAGCTGATTGGCTAAATTAATTATTAAACTGCAAATTTAGTGATTAGTAATTTTAATAATTTCTAGTTCCTGCTGAAACCTATAATCTGTCTAATAAGCCTGCTATCCGAGTCCTGTGGGTCTGTGTCTATTATTGTCTGTCTATGCTAGTTTTTACACTTGGAATTTTACCTCCCTAACAGTGTTTTTTATAACTACGGTGTTCATAATCGTATTATCATGCCCAGCACGGAGGTGCTCAATAAAAATACATTTCCAATGTAAAAAATTTTAAATGTGGTAAAACACAAAAGATTTACTGTAACTATTTTAAAGTACACACTTCAGTGTAAGTACATTCATATTTTTGTGCAGCCAAACTCTGGAACTCACTAAATCCTGCCAAACTGAAACTCTGTCCCCA